AGATATTTGAGAATGCCATTTTTTCAAAACTATAGTTAGAAAGATTCTATCCAACAAATGGCCAGTTGAAAGGTCATCTAACAAACGGATACTAATCTGATGTAACGGATGGCCAAATCTCTCTGTATTAAAAAGGACTACCACTTTTCAGAGATGTGTGTTTCCAACCTTCTCCTTAGCTTCTTTAGGTGCTACCAAGTCCTCTCAAACTCTGTGTTCCAGCCACCTTTGTCCTTGTCTTGTCTTTGCAAGAGGCCACTAATTCTGCACCACTTTCTCCCTGGGCTTTCTTACTTCCTCAGAACCCCAGACCAGGTTAGTCCCTACTGTTCCATGTCTCTATTTGTACCTGCCTCCCATCTCCTCACATTTGGGATTATTTGTTCCGTTTGTCTCTCCAGCTAACCTGTGGGCTTCATGAAGACTTGTGGAACTTTGTAATTTTAGCACCTACTTCCCTGGCTCAGATTTAAAGGGAAGCACACTTATCAGAAATTAAGTGACTTTTAGTTTCTGCCCATGACACAGATCTATGTGTAATCATGGCCAGTTTCATTTGACTCTGAAGTCTGCAGCTTGTGGCCTGCTATCTGCTCATAGGACTGAAGTCTATGTGTTTGACCTTTCCTTATTTTGTTTATAAAGCTCTGTGAACAATGAAATTATTTCCCTTTCACGATTGAAGTCTTTCATGCTCTGATAAAGACTCTGTGCAAATGAAAACAACGGAAATGGGAAAGCCTGATTTTATATATCCAGTTAACTGATCTCATGTCTGGGACTGAGGCATCCAGGGACTGTGTCTCATACACAATGGCAAGGTTGGGTTGCGTTACATTCTTGCTTCCTCTGAACCAGTTTTCCATCATGCTCAGCTTAAATATGATAAAGATTAGGTCTGCAGGTCTTTAGAAAGTGTGTATTTTCTTTTTAATTTTATTGAAGATGAACATTTGGAGTCAGTTGACATGATATTGCTATAATAAATGTATATTTACATCTGGATGTGTATAGTATTTTATTAATGTTCTTAACAGAGTCATCTTTATTGGAGGAAAAATCAAGAATTTTCACTGCTGGGATGCGAGGGTGGCTCAGCGGTTGAGCATCTGCCTTTGGCTCAGGTCATGATCCCCAGAGTCCCAGGATCGAGTCCCACATCGGGCTCCCCACAGGGACCCTGCTTCTCCCTCTGCCTATGTCTGCCTCTCTCTCTGTGTCTCTCATAAATAAATAAATAAAATCTTAAAAAAAAAAGAAGACTTTTCACTGCCTATCATGGCGAGCCCATCTACTTTACATTCTGTCAATACAATTTTCTGATCTTAATGACACATCCATAGGAAGAAAAAAAAAGTAACCACTAAATTTTTAGCAGATTGATATCATTTAGTTGCAAGTTCCTATTTCTGAACACAGAGTTTGAGTTCTAAGAAAGGAGGAAACCCAGTATTCATAGAACTTTTTTGAAAACTGTATAGCACAGACAATGGTGAGCCATTTCCATGAGTGCTATGACTAGATCCTAATGTGGGAAAGGGCTAGTAGGGAATGCTGTATTCATTTCTATACATAAACAGGTTGGGGGGGGTATCTCACATAAGAGGTGGGAACATGAATTTATGTATTTGGCAGCATTTCTCCCATAGGATATCACACTTTTCTATGTATTTCTTTTTATTTTATTTTTTTATTATTTTTTTTTCTATGGATTTCTTTGACATTCTTTTCCTGTTATATTCCTGTTTGCCTACTGTTTAGAACTAGAGTAGTCAATGCTGTGGAGAATCACACGATTTGTTCATGAATGTTTAGAATTCTATGTAGAAAGATGCACTCTGAGTATTTCTTCAGTGGCCTGATGTACGTTCTGAATTGTTTTCTTTGGCTTTAAGGACATAGAACTTAGATATTTGCCTGAAAATTTTCTGTAAAGTATTTACATTCTCTTTCTCTTTCTCTCCCTCTCCACTTCCTTCTCTCTCTGTTACACACACACACACACACACACACACACACGCACACACACATACACACAGAAGTTTCTATGTGCCAGACATTGATTTAGATATTTAAGATATATTGGTAGTGAAATGTTGAGCTTGCATTTTCAACCAAACTCTACAACAAGAAGTTGCTAAATGAATTCATGTCTTTTTATTTCTTCTATTTTATGTTAATTCTTTATGGTGAATATCATCTAATAGCATCTTCTATGCCTTAAGAATGGTCAGATAGTGAACAGTAGAATTTAGCAAAGATAGTGTGTGCATGTGAAGTTACCATAGTTATTCTTGCTGTCTTCTGAAAGATAAGATAAATAAAATTACCAAAGATTCTAAGTGATACTTGGTGGTGCCGGTTGTGGTTAATTTACAGCCTTCCATCAGCTACATAAATGCCTTGTATGTTTGTTCCTTCTTCTATTCAGATGCAAAATCAGAAACCAAAGGATCGCTTTAATTGTTCATGTGTAGTTGATTATTAATCTTCTGAACATTTCTAAAAGTAATGAGTGTTTTATGGTTTATGCTGCTCTGGGAATTAGTCATTTTAAAAATAGGTTTATTAAAACTGAAAGGCTGCTAGTAATCAATATCTATAAAAATGGAGTTGTTTTGGGATAGTCTCCATGCTGCTCTATGCTAATCTTTTTTCTTTTTCTTCCATTGTGATAATAACAGATGATACAGAGAAAGAATACACATGTAAAGATTGTTCTGATTAGCTGAACCAAGTATATTTTTCTGGCACTTCCTTGCCACTGCTTTTGAAAACTGCCTTCTCTTCTCTTTTCTCAGTTGTTTACATGTAACTGTTTACATAAAGTTTATTATCTTTTTGTGCATACGTCATTATGTATTGCATTTTATTTATGTTTTTTAACCAGATTTATTTGTTTATTGGGAGGGAGGGAGGGTCTCAAGCAGACTCCGCACTGAGCACAGAGCACCATGTAGGGCTCGATCTCACCACTCTGGGGTCATGACCTGAGTTGGACCCTTAACCAGCTGTGCCTGGGTGCCTCGTATTGCACTTTAAATTCCATTATTCCATTATAAAATATTCTGACTGAATGCCACTACCATTGTCACTTAAACATCGGGAGGTCTCTCAGCTTTGATCAATCCCAGCATTTCTCTATGTGGATTCTAGAGAACCCTAGATTTACAGGATATTTAAAATGTTATGAGAAAAAAGATGGTTCTGTGCTGATATAAGTTGAGCTTCTTTACTGCAAAACCAGTCAGAGCTTTATAAGTATGTTAATACGCAAAATGATTTTCTAAGAGAGATATCATAGTAATGACTTTAACACAAAGAGTTTCATGCTTTGGGAACAACTAGCTTTCTTTTCATATGGATTAGAAAACAGAGGCTCCAAGAAATTAAGCAACCTGTTAATACAGTGCCCTTCTAAGATGGATACAGGGGGTCCCCCCACACCTTGCCACCCCTCTATCAGCTCTAGGATAAAAGTGGCTCTTACTCTGACCTCTAGGCTTGTACTTCTTATTTGTTTTTTTCGTTTTTTTTTTTTTTTTTTTTTTAAAGATTTTATTTATTTATGAGAGGGAGAAGCAGGCTCCCTGTGGGAAGCCTGATGCAGGACTTGACCTCAGGACTCTGGGATTATGACCTGAGTCAAGGGCAGGTGCTCAATCACTGAGCCCCTCAGGGGCCCTTTATTTGTTTTGAATGACAGGAGGTGTATCTCTGAAAAACTGCCCATGAAATCTCAAATTTCCACCTGGAGAGTGTATTGATTTATTTATATCTTTTCCCTCTGTACTCTTTCCCTTAAAAGAAAGCAAGCAAGAAAAAAAGAAAAAAAGAAAAAAGAAAAAAAAAAAACAAAGAAAAACACACACACCAAACAGAACATTATTACTAAGGATACCAGAGAGTAGGGTTTGGGCAAGACATCTTGGCCCCCAGGGGACTTTATCCCCACACTAAAAATTCAGTGAATACTACTAGACTTTGCATTTATGGCTTTTGCAGTCTTATTTCTCTGGAGTTCGTTCTCTTAGTAAGTCATTTTAAATGCCAAGCACGGAGCATACATTAGTAAGTGGGTTGAACATAACCTCATGGCTTTCCTAGAGCTCACAATAAATAATGACAGAAAAGAGAAATTAAAGAAATAGTTTATCAGAAATGAACAAATAGATAACTTGTGATAGTGATCAAGATTCAAGTATAGACAGTTATGAATTGTATAGTAAAGGGGCATTTTCTGGCCAGAGGGTGCAAAAAAGTCTTCCTAGGGAAATGGCTGGAGCTGAACTGTGCAAGATGACTAGGTGGTCGCTACAGGAAGGGGATTGGAGGCAGAGCCCAGAGCAGGTTCCTTAGGGCAGGAGGAGCTTTACATTAGGAAGTAAGAGGACAACAGAGGACTACCCACAAGAACCATGTGTGGGTAGTCCTTAAGCTTCAGTGAGAAATCTGATATGTGAATGCATGAGGTTGCTTTCTTGCATTGATGCGAATGTACCATTTGCCAACAAGAACTATTGTTTTTGGTTTGTCACTTGCTTGGTGATTTTTGATATTTATCTTGACCCACAGTTTAAATATATAATACATCTAGTGTCCTGTCATCAAAAGGGAAGAACGCTACATAAGTTCTGCCTAGAAGTAATCATGCTTGTAATCAAAATAACCCTTTCCCAGAGACAAATGATAGGGAACATTCAGCCTGTTCGTATAACCCCAGATAGTGATTTTTCCTACATTCCTTTAAGGCTTAATTTAAAACTGTCTATAGCACCTGGGAAGATTTCATGTTTATTAAACATGTTTGAAATGTTTGGTAACAGGTATGAAATAGAATATAAGGGGATTTATAGAATTTAAAGGAATATAATGAAAATCTGATTTGACAGTATTATGCTTTCTGCATCATTATCTTGTGTTTCCTTAAAAAAATATGTGTTTGGGATTTAACCCCATGCTTTACTGACCACTTTGTTTTTGTCTTCTACCTCTTCCAGTCTAGCGGGACTGCAGCCATCATTGCTATTTTGGTGTTGCTGCTACTACTGGGCATTGGTTTGATGTGGTGGTTTTGGCCTCTTTGCTGCAAAGTGGTGAGTAAAGAGGATTTTCAACTCTACTCTTGTCAAGCGGTGAGATAGATGTAAAGTAAGGCCTTAAATGTGAGTCAATGCTAGTGTTCCAACAACGACAAAGTTTCAGTTATCAAACTGAATTTTAATAGCTTGTTATTATGATAGTAAATTCTAGAAAACATGTATGCCAGTAAATGTTGACTGTAAAATTTCATCTAAAACATTTCAAAATCAAGTTTGGAGGGAGAAGAGGAGAGGAAGATGGGTAGGAATAAAGGGTTTTCTACTGCAGCACAAAAGAGTCTCAAGTAAGTTGAATGATATTTTCTTGTCAGTGCTTATTGAATCTTTTATTACCTCTTTGAAAAATCTATTTCAGGACCTTCTCTGTTTGCCTCTCAGAAAAACATTTTAGGAATAAGTCATGTGCACATGTTAGAGTGTCACATAGGAAGTTTTGAAGCTATGACAGTTGGTTTGTTTGTGTTATTTTTCATGTTTGAGTAAAACCTTTGAAAGAATACAGGTTTATATTTGTTTTCTATTGCTACTGTCACAAATTGCTAGATGTTTAGTGACTTAAAGCACTCAAAGCTTTTCCAGCTTCTAGAGGACACACATGTCCCTTTCCTCATGCACCCTTCCCTTCATCCTCAAAGCCACCAACATTGCATCTCCTTGACCATTCTTCTATAGTTAATCTCCCTCTGACTCTCACACCAACTAGGAAAGGACCTCCAATGTTAAGGAACCATGGGGAGAAATTGGACCCACCTGGATAATCCAGGAGACTATCCTCTCAAGATCCTTAACTTTCACATATGTGCAAAGTCCCTTTTGCTATGAAATGAAAATTATTCATTGTTCCAGGAACATCTTTGGTGGGAGAGCATTGTTCTGTCTACCACATGGTGGAATGTTGACTAGTAGAGTTCACATTTCAAGCAATCCAATTTGGATTGTTCAGGTTTCATAGAAAAGAGTATCCTGACAAAGCACTCATTGAAAACTTAACCTCCTACTTAGTTTGATAGTATTCCTTTTATCATGATCACATTATGTAGACCTTTATATTCTGTAGATCACAGTGGTATTGTATATGGTATTCCTAGACTGGCTTTTTTCTCCTTCACCTTTGTTGACTAATTTCAGCTTCCTTGTAACTTCAGGCACTACTCTGCACTACTCCTGTATTTATTATTAATTGTACTTCAATCTGCTTTCATGAGTCAACTTTACAATCCTTTATCTCAGAACAGTTGGCCCACAGAGGAGGCACAGAATTAACTCAGACAACGGTAGAGACAAGAAGCATCCTGTCTCTTTGCTGAGCTAATCAGTTTTCTGCCATAGCAATTTATGCTAAAACGGTTTCCTGTTGTATTCTCGATTATCCTAGATACGGTTATTTTAGGGTGTCTAGCATTCTTGAGTCTCAAAAAGCAAAAACGTGCCCTGAGATGATTTGTGCTCCTTGGCTTTTTAATTTAAATTCTGTAGTGGTGGATTTCCTTCCTTCATTACTTTGCAATTTCATTTGTTATTAATCAGAGGGCTCAAAAGTGTAAAAGTATATGATTTTTTAAACGATATATTTATTTATTTATTTATTATTTATTTATTTATTTATTCATTCATTCACTCATTCATTCGAGACAGAGACACAGACAGAGGGAGAAGCAGGCTCCATGCAGGGAGCCTGATGTGGGACTCCATCCCAGGACTCCAGGATTGTGCCCTGGGCCGAAGGCAGGCGCTAAACCGCTGAGCCACCCAGGGATCCTCGAGTGTTTTTAAAGTACTAGTGGCAAACATGTAAATCTAATCTTTCAACTGAAACATGACAAAACAGCTTAAAATGTCTGTTTTCAGGCACATTTAGATTATGTCAGCAGTCTACCTCCTTGAAATCATATGCTCAGGAGATCTTTTAAAGATAGAAAGTCTGGAAATAAAAGTCCTGCACAGAGGCTCTAATGTTTGTCACACATTGTTATTCAGTCATTTCATATTTTATATAAATCTTATGAAATGCTTTGTTCATTGTTCAGAGATTAAAATTTCACAGATCTCTAATGAAAAACTCAAAAATGACAGTGTTACATTTCAGACAGTGGTTCTCTTTTTTTTTTTTTTTTTTCCTGCCCTAAGTAACGGGAAACTCCCAGAGCAGTAGTGGTAAGATTTCCAATGTTGGTGATTCTCCCAGAAGGGAAAGGGCTGGGCAGGGGAGGTTCTCCAGGATTCAGTGCCATTTGGAAAAGCCCCCATAGTAGGCTGAAGAATGGTCCCTAAAGATATGCAGATCTTAATTTCTGGAAACCCTGAATGGTATCTTCTATGGCAAAAGGGACTTTGAGATGTGATTCAGTTAAGGATCATTGAGCAATGATTAAATTAAGAACCCAAGAGTCAGATTAGCCTCCAGGAGGGGAAAAGGCAGTGTGACCTCAGAGGCAGAGATTGGAGGGTGCAGCTACTAGCCAGGGAATGCTGACGATCACCGGAAGCCTAGAGAGGCAAGCAACAGCCACAACCCTGTAGCCTGTATCAAGGAACCGGTTCTACCAATACTTTATTTAGCTTTATAAGACTCAGTTCAGACTCTGACTTCCATAGCTGTGAGAAAATAAATTTGTTGTTTTAATCCATTGAAATTGTGGTAATTTGTTACAGCAGCATTAAGAAACTCTCAAAGTCCTTAAATGATTCTGATATTCCCCAGGGTTGACAATCAGTGTTTAGGGCTATTGATTTTAGCAATTCTTATGTAATATGTTTGCAGATCAATCATTACAAAAACTGCTCACGGAGGGAGTATAAGAGGTTGTAAAATGGAAGACAATGAAATATTTTTCAAAATGTTAGCAGTGGTTCCGAGGATATTAAAAAAGTCAGTATGCAGTTTTTAAAATTAGAATTACCTTTCTGTTTTGTTTTGAGTAACCATTAGATAAATGTGCATAATGTTTTATATATTGAGTAGAATTAATTAACTTACTGTTTCAGAGAGGCAAGGAATTTTTGGAAGAAACAGGTTTCTAATTATTAGAAGTATTTGAGATATATATGTTGTTAGAACCGCTGACAACAGGGATCCATGGACAGCTTTCTCGGGTGCTTGTTATTTGCTAGAAGAGGCCAGTACCATCCCATTCATATTCAGATATTGAGCCACTGAATCTCTTAAAAGCTAGAAAGTGACCTTTCACTCTGCAGGGAAAAGCAAAGAACTTGAACGTTTAACTAAATACCATGTCTCTAAAACTATGACATATACCTTACTTGTATGAATTTGGTTTCAGGAACAAGAAATATATCAAAGTTATAAATATCCCTCTATTTTCTATTTAACAGAAAATAAAATTTTCTATTAAAATTTTAACCAAAATCCTCAAAGTTCCCCTGTCAGGTTAGAAAATGGTACTTTTTTGGTGATACATAAATGAAATTAAGATTGCACAATTATTTATGTGACTATTTGTTGAATACTTCTCCCACTTTATAGTCTAATAATTCCATGAAGTCAAGTACTGTGTGTGTTTTACTCATCATTGTAAACCAGCCATGTTGCACAGTAAACACTTACCTTCTTTGAACTATTTTAATTCTTAAAATTGAAACACTTGACATCTCTTTATCTGGAAGACTTCTTCCATATAGAGTACCTTGTTGCCAGTTTTAATCAAAATTCTGTCAACTGCAGGGAAGCATTTTGCATGAGTGGATTTATAGTACAATCTTAGTTCTTTGTGTGGTTTTCACTGATTTTATTTAAAAGGTATCCTTTATAATGTGTATACAATAGGATATGTGGCCTTCACCCTTCTATACAATGGGAACAAAGATACAAGTACATAAAAATTGTTAATTGTAATAAAATTCTGAAATAGAAGCAATTTAACTTTTATCTAGTTGCTTTTAGATGTCCCCTACAGGGATTTCTAACTTTTATTTTTCTGACCTTTATTTTTTCTAACCTTTATTTTTTACTTCCAACTGAAATTTATCATTTCCTTCACTTATAAATGTAGGCCACTACCCACAAAAGTATTGGCAGCTCCAGAGACTTGTCACAAATAAGTATCACAGATACCCTATATCACATGTAGTTCTTCAGATACTTTTTTTTTCTTCAGATACTTTTGAAATGTCTTTTATAAGTATAACTTCAAAACTTAGGGTAGCTCCCAGACCTACTATTGTGTTTCATTATTTAATGAATCATTAATGAAGTAGCATAGGTTTCTATCTATATCATAAATTTTGCAGATTTTTTTTACAGGTATGATAATTATATCTCGATGTAATTGTATTCCCTAAAATCCTTTGTATTTAAATTTAGCTTCATTATTCTGGGAAGGGATCCGGAGGTTCACCAGATTGCCAGAGAGGGGCATAGAATAAAAAAGCTTATGGAAAACCCCTACAATAGGAAACCTGGCCACACAGGGTGCTTTTATTATGAGATTACTTTAAAATTTTAAATCTTTCAGTTTATTTTACTGCATATTTTCAAGGGTAAAAGAGAAAGACAACGTCATTTAAAATTTTGCAGAATAGTGTCCTCTGCGTACTCAGGCTTTTCACTGACAAAAGAAATCTAAACCAATGATAGCTGGAAGACTTGATCTAGTAATAATCATAGTAAAAGAGCCCTCATGCAAAGCAGACATTTTTAGGCACTATCATTAGTGAATTATAGAGTGTGTTGAGTTTGCAAACTATTCCATAAGGGGAAAAGTTCTCATTTTTTGTGTGAAGTTATTTCTCACCATCTGTTGAAGAGTCTGTATACTGCTTATTGAGGATCCTCATATCCATCCTTTACAGCTGCTTTTCGTTAACAAAGACATCAGCTGCATCCTTCCTTTTTCCTTAAGTTAAAAATGGGGGCAGGAGGGGTTAAAAAAAAAAAACCTTATCATGTACTGAATCATGAGTGAAATATTAGAAAATATGGATGTTTTCATCATTGTTTAGCTTAGAAGGTATGTTGAGTTTATGGCAGATTTGTT